ATATACGTATTATTGTTTAGTAACATAACGTTCGTTAGCAATTAAGAGTGGATTGAGTGTGTTTGAAGCGCGGGGGAGGGGGGGGGGAGGAGTGGAAAGGGGGTCCTTTCGTAAAAATTGGCCCAGGCCTCGCAATCCTTTTGGTGGTCCTAACTACGTTTCACGCTTAGCCTAGGTTAGAAATGTCAGACTTGATTATGCTGACGACCGCATGGTATCCTTTAGGAGAGGTTGGGTCCACTTTTGCAAATGTTACACCAAAGTTTCAATTGCTAACAGGTTGAAAAAGTCTATGCTTTTCCAAAACTAACTGTTGAAGAGGACTTTGCAGGCGGGACGAAAGCAAGTGGCGAGCAAGCTGTTTGATACTCCTGGCCTTGACCGATCTGAAGTTCGTAGATGTCTTTCACTGGTCATTCTCGAGAACAGGATAGAGGGGCGGCTGCTTATATCGTTGAGAGGGCCGCTGAGCTCGGGTATTCCCAAGAAAGAGTTTATGAAAGACTTCCCGCAGGTTGGAATGCCCTGGTGAAGATCTCGAGCTCGCATGTTCCCTCCGGCCTTTGCGACTGTCGGATCTGTTCTTGAGAATGGGAGAGTCATTCTGCGCCTTGCGAAACAACCCCCCCGCAACTAAGGGCTGTTCACACCTTAAAATGAACTTTCATACGGGAAACCCACGTTCAACACTTGTAGTCCCATGTTCTCCGCGTGAAGGAGAGTAACACCCAAGTGTGAAAGCGGTGGGATCCCATCTGGGTGGGAGAGAATAGAAAGGTTATCCTTGAATCGCAAAAATGCCGCCGGTCGTGTCGTAACCATTCCGTTTCCTCCCTCATCCATATAGTTCACTCATAGGCTTGCATGCAAAGTCATGGAGATGGACTTTACGGACAAAGTGGACAGGGTTTTGATAAATAGGAAAAAGTGCCGATCAATAAAGGAGTCGGGATTCTGATAAATATTAGGGTGAAGATCCCACCCTGGCGAGGAAATCATCCTTCCTTCAGCAGGATGAAAGGGGACTCCAAGGGTCTTTCGTAGGGAAGTGTAAAGAATGGGAAGAATGGGCTGCTGCCTATAGCAATGAGAGGGTCACTGAGATTTTGGGACGCCGAATGAACTAGGGGAATTCTTGCCAAAGAGTTCGTGGAAGTCTTCCACGAGTCTGCAAGAACTCTACATGTTGCATAAATTTCAGATGGAAGTCATAAGAAAGCCCTCTCGATAGTGGCAAAAAAAAACCGTGATACCCATAGGCACACTAAGAAATCCTTACTTATGTGAACCTCTGGTTTCTCCCTCTTGAATGTGGTTCGTATGCTTTGTTCTTTTGTGGAGCTGTGACAAAAAGGGTTTGCATCTTTTTCTGGGACAATGATGAATCACGATACAGGATACACAGGATGTGGTGAATCCTCAGGTCCATACGTGATTAAAAAATGCAATTAACGGTAGTGCTAATTCAGTTAATAGCCAGAGCTCACCTGAACGAGATCATGCTGCAAGACAGTCAAAATTAAGGAAATAAAACGTATATTTTCGCGCTCATAATTGTGCCGAATCATGAAACCTTTCGATATCCAGACACTTTCGTGTGTGACTCGTTCTACGTATGGTCGAGTTCGCTTAATTGTCCGTGGACATAATGATCATTCGTCGGCACATGTTTCGATAATTCAATGCCAACCCGTTCGCGACGTCACTCCACCGTAAAATAAACGAACCCATTTGAGCACCCAAGCATATGCACCTGAATCAAGTTCTGATGATTTTTCTCACGAATCAGAAAAATGTAAATTGTTGAGATGTGGAACCATTACCGTCAACTTCTAGATTTTGGAAGAAAATATAACTCTCAAGGTAAGTTTTCGGCTCTTCTGGGATATTTTTGGCTCTCAGAAATGATGATGGATGAGCTGATACAGGTGTTTTGGGTTTCGGTGTGTGCATGTGCTAAGCAAAACACATTATTTTAAATTGCATTTTTTCACGGTGGTTTTCCAAGACTTTGCGTTTAGAATTAGCCATATACATAACCGTATGGCACGGCGAATAATGTCTAAAAAAATTAGCGAGTGTCCTTTATGAGATTGCCATCATTGCTTACCTTCTTGATCAGTTCTTTCTCTCCTAACGTCTTCCTCCATCGCTGGACCCAGAGGAATCTGCAGAGAGAACAGTATGAACTTGCAAAACTGACGTAATGCTTGAAGAGTATTGAAGGAGGTGGTGAAAATGAAAATAAAGGGAAGGAAGGGAATGATGAGAACGAGGCGTAAGAACAGCACCTTCAAAAAGTGGCTTTTCCGATTTAATGTGTTCCAGTCTTGATGTGAGAGGGAGTCGAGGGCAGAGGAAGATGCTTGAGAATGTCGGATTAGGAGACCCTTACGCTCCATCTTTTCCCATAAGCTCATCCGGTATCTGGCTGAGGGGTGATTCCCCCCGTCTGCGATTAGGAGGGTTCGCGTGGCGCGGGAGATCCCCTCCATCACCCATGAGTCCTCAAGCCCCACACACATTACCGGTACATGTGTACTCTCACACCCTCGATATTCCTTTGGATGATAGATCTCCACTTCTCCACCTACTGTTGACCTACTTGACGCTTTCAACAACTCAAGAGCTTCAGTGAAGACCTCCCGTATTTCCCAATCCGAAATCAGCACGACGACGTTTTCCTTCGAAGGAAAACGCAATGATTTTGACGTGATATGACATTTAGAACCATTTCCTGAATTCATTCACGCACGGAGCCAAATTTCATTTTCGTGATGCTTAGAATACAGACATTCGACAATATCATTGGTAAGAATGACCAACTAATCACCTAAGACGATACAGCCAGTCAGATAGGACCATTTTTAATCCACAAAAGAGCCCAAGTACTGTAGTTAGTTTGTCATAAGGAACCCCTCCACCCTTTCCTTCCCTCTCCTCCGAATGTCATTAATGCCAACACCATAAGGGTGGGTTCAGTGGCGAGGCCGGCCCCACTCCCCCAAGCGGGGAGGGAGCATGCCACCCTGACCTGAGACATAGATCGCTTAGCATGTGACTTCTTGCGGACTGTCTTCCGCTAAGCTTCCAAGTTCGCCTTTGTAGCCCTTTTTACGGCTCTATTCGGTTTCCTGCTGGATTTTGACAGACTTTGACAAGTTATAAGTAATGTCACCCCAATATGAATCCATACCGACTGGTCCTTTCTGGAAATGGATGAGCTGTACAGTTATTCATTTTCGTAAAATAGGAAGCAACAAAGAAAATTAGGCAGGAAAATGCATGAAGCTCTGAGCTCTTGATTACATCAGCATCTTCTCTTGCAACTGAAGAACACCTTCATAATTTTTTCTTATTAAAGGAGAGTCAAGTTCTTAAAAGGTTAAAATATTAATATTTTCATCTCAACAGTAAGATGACTGGAAAAACGTCGAATAGGGGGCTAGAAGACCCCATTGACTCGAATCCGGATCGTCTTTGATCTATTTATCTTTGGTTGCTGTGCTTAACATCGTATGTAATGTACTTTCGTTGTCCTCTTCTAATGAGCCTTTCCACATTCAACACGAAATCTTTCCTCTTAGATCCCAGGGTGCATTTGACTTTATCACTCATTCTGGTCGTATTTAGGGCCTTCATCAGTAATATGCACGCCAACTTACAAGACGAGAATTCACTCTCAAGATGATCGAACAGTTCCTACTTATTCATTGGGTGACAACCGGAAAATGGAAATTCACAGCCGGCATTCATCAGTAACTGTCGCTGTTCTAAATTATTTTCCTACTATATAAAGACAGACGGGTGATGCCATACATAAATTATTGGTGAATTAAATTTATTACGAAATCTCGATTTAAGTAAAAACAGCTGAGCGATCGCCACTTCAGTACTGGCAACATGGAAAACAAATCGCCTGACCGAACAAAGTGAACCCGTTCCTGATTTGCAAAACTAGAAGCATACCTTTGATTTTCCAGCAAACAAGATCACATGCTGCATACCAAACACAAAAAGTGCTTAAACTGATACCCTATCCTAGTTGTCTCCCTGCATGATGGATACCCATATCTTCGACCTTTCATTGACTTACTTGTGCATAAAACATTGATTATTGAGTGCATTATGCTGTTTGAGGGATTCCATTTCGTCATCCATAGCAACAGGTGTTAAAAAAGTATTCAAGAGTCAAGAGAGTTAGTGATATCAAGAGGGGATTTCGCCCATTTCGATATCACGTTTCGAGGTAGAGCGTTCCTTAATTTTAGGGTAGGCCTAACCCTCTTAAAGCAAAATATTTTTGTATTTTTGGGATTTTTTTTTGCGTATTTATTTATTTTAAAATAGTTTATTTATTTTATGCCATTCGAAAGTTAACTGTATGTCATTAAAATTTCAACATTACGTTCTGCATTTCCCACAAATTTTCAACAGTGCGAAATAAACTTCCGTGGGACGTTCGTTATTGAACACTTCGTTTTTCCAAATCACGTGGATTTGTTGCATACAATTTCTCTTTGGCCCATTCCCATAAGACAAAGTCACAAGGGTTTAGATCTGGGCTTCTGGCAGGGCACTCCGTTGGTCCTCGTCAGCATCTCCAGGAGTTCCGGATATTGACGGTGTTTCACATCGTGTCATATCTTTAACTGAACCGGTTGCAATTAACTTGTTTGGCAGTAGTTTTTATTGTCTTTGGATCAAGAGTAGCATGCCTTCCTCTCTCCTTCCGCCACCATCTCTGAATTTCTACTACAGAGCTCCAAAACCTCATATCTTGACGTAATTTTAGCTTGGTGACAACGTCGTGATGGTCAATTGGAGTTATTGAGCTAGAAAATGTTAATGTTCTTGAAGAAATTCTTCATGGGTTAAAAGAAAACTTCCAAAACAATATGAATAAATCTTAAAGTGAACGTGTTCGAAGTTTCGTAACTTCACCATGACGAGTGGAGAAAAAGTTCATGCAGATGTTGAACAAAAAGAGAGCCAGGAGATTCTGATATCATTTTATTTTCATTTGCAGGTCAAGTTGACTTGGAATGGACTGTCGAGAGACATGAGAGAAGGAATTCTTCCTTTTGCCACCTGACCTCTTTCACCAAAAACAAAAAAAAACAAGAATCAAACCACACATCCACCATGCGGAATAAAATTGATACCTGTACCATTCTCTCTCATTTTAGAGGAGGATGAAAACATTCCAGCTACGTTGAAAAGGGAATAATTGATTCACATCCACGATGATATAGACCATAGTGAAAACAAACAAGGAAAAATCTCTCTTGGTACTTCATTTTCTCCCATACTGACAAAACTCTGGAAAAATATATAGGATAATTATTTAGAGCAAAAAACTTATACCCACATCACAAAAATATGCTTATGGCAAAAAAAGAGGGAAAAAAAGAAAACCAGGTGAAAAAAATTGGTCTCTTCACACTCTCTTGGGGACAAGGAAAGTCCAAAGCACAATAATGTTTTTTTTCCCTCTGGAATTCATCTAGTCAGGATGAGATTTTTTTTCCTCTATACAGTCTCTTATATTTTCATCTCGTAATCATCACTGTGATCAACAGCATCAGAATCATTATGAGGGGGGGGAGAGGGGAAAACTTTGAAAGCATTTCCAGCAGGAAGAGTGAGGAAAGAAATCTTGGTGACATCACAGTGAAGCACAGTCCCCCTCACAAGAAAACACAAAAACTTTATATTCTCCTCCCCAGTAAAGTATCTCTCTTTAATATCAAAATAAACTTTCTTCAGGAAGGTTTTCATCCTTTGATGAAAAGGGTTTTTCGGTCTCTGAGAATGGTAAGGGAAACATCACAAATATTGGGGATTATTCTCTCTCTGATATGCAAGCGGCCAGCAATGAAAAGAAAAACTTTAAACATCTAGATTTTCCAGACTTTACGCCTGACTAGCATAAGCACCAGAACCTGGAAGAAACTTCAGTTTGAAAAAAGATACACTCTTTTTCCTTTGCATAAAAACTTGTTCTTCTCAAGATGAAAGTCATGAAATGGGGGATCAAGAGAGGGATCAAGTTCATTCCTCTCCATTGCACAATAAATGACAGAATGATAATAAAAAGCAACTGCTCCATTTTTCTTATCTCCACTGGTAAATGATTTGCAATATAAATAAATATATTATTGGTGAGTAATTGAGCCCAGGATTGGTTCCATCTTTTTTTTCCTTCTAATTACTGTTTTTCTTTACCATACCCTCTTAAATGAGGGAAAAAAAAAGAAGAAAGGAATGAGAAGCAGAGAACAGGAAGTCAAAGATGTGAGAGCCTGTAAAGCTGTATGTCGCTGTGTGCTGATGTGTTTGTTGCCTCGTGAGGGAATGCATGCAAGATGAACTACCTCTTTCCCCTGCCCCCATCGCTCTTGGGATGATTCTCCTTGAAGAAGAAATCAGATCAAGATGAAGCAAGGGCCATGTGGATAATCACTGCAAACAGGATGGCACCCAGTGTAAATCCAGCCACCCAAAGGGCCACCAACTGTTGGTCGCTCAGCTGCTTCCCTTCTCCCATCTACAATTGAAAGTCAATAAATATTTTATAGCATTTATCCACATCTAGGAGTTCAGACTCAGATACCAGATTAAATATCTTTCATTTGCAAATATTTTAGATTTGTTTCAAATAAATATAATTTCCACTATGTCCATAATGCATTGGAAAGGAATTTGAAATGGAAATCTCCCTCCAAATAGGTATCTCCTCAAATGAAAAATGACATTCAGTTTTATTGAGATCTGACCTCATCTTTGATACCAGTCAACCTGACAAGGGTCTTCAGTATGTTTGCATCACAAAATTTGTTGTGAGAGAATGAGCATTAAAATATTTGGGAGATGGAGACGGGATGCTTGAACAGGAGGTCAATTGCAGCATAAGAAAACCCATCTCTTGGCTAAATATAAAGGCAGTGCAACTCTATCACCGCATCACAGTTAACTGGAATAGAAAATGAATTGCACACCAAAGCTGAAAATTAAACTGAAAATAAAATTAATATTTTTTTTATCACTGAAACCAAAAATAACCCCGACAGAGCATATCAGTCAACTTGAAACATGAAATGAAGCTCAAACTATTCCAAAAACTAAAATAAAAACCTCTCTCTTGGAATCATACAGCATGAAGGAATTAGAAAAAGGATGGAAGACAAACCTGAACAGGAGATTTTGGAAGAAGGGATCCAGGGCTGGTGTCAGTGGGAGATGGTTGCTTGGCAGCAGGTGGAGAGTGAAACATTGCCACTGGAGAGTATGCTCCTACCAGCATCTCACTGTCTTCACAATGCCGCACTGCGCACACTCGTGCACGGTACAACATGTTGCTCTGTAGTCCTGTCAGCACATAACTCCTCTCCTCCCCTTTGTACACCTATACAGGAATCAGGTCCAAGTCAATATGAAAGTGGAACAAAATCTGCAGAACAAATGTCAAGAATGGAAAGGAACTGACAGTGTGAAATTCAGTATCTTTGGCAGGCTGGATCTGAAGCTGGTAAGAGATGGTGTCAGGAGTTGGTGGGGGACGCACCTCACCCCATTCCACACGACACTGGCTGCCATCCAACATCTGCATCTGGGGTGCTGCAGGCCCAACAAAAGTTAAAAATTGTATTAATTATAATTTACAATCTTTTTAATACTTAATCCTGCTCATTGATCTTCAGAGAAAATATCCTGCAAATTGATCCTATTCAGAAGCTGAAGTTGTGTAATTACCATTTTCCAGATGGGAACTCTTTTGTCGTAATGAAAACAATCAAATTTTTTGCAAGCAAAATGAAACCATCCCTCTGTGGCATGCCAGCAACACTCATGAGAGACTAATCATAAACCATACAATCATTTTTTTTTTTTACTTTTCAATATACATATATATATTAGGGCTGTCACGATAGCAGTTTTCAAAATATCGATGCATCGACCTAAACTACCGATAGTGTATCGATACATCGGGGGGGGGGGGGGGGGGGGGGGGGGGGGGGGGGGGG